TGCTTGGTTGCCATATTACAGAATAAATCCACAGAATTCAATCAGTACACAGGCGTAGACAACATGACGTTGGTTACGCACCCACCCCAGTGACTGATCCCTGTATCTAGTTCAGCCTCATAGAAGGATAGCCTAGTTTTATCGTTTCTGACTACAACACTGGATGATGCAGGTTCAAACTCCATGCAGGACATCAATTCCACAGAAGTTGCAGATACGCCTTGCTGGTGAGTGCCAACAAGCACGAATCCCAGGACTTCCTGTAGATCCCCTCCATCCAACTAAAACTAGGTTTTAATATAATCCTGGCGTGTTTAGACAGTCCAAAAAACACTTGTTTGAGTTACTTTTATAGATTAAATCAGACTCAGCGCCCAAGTACTGGTATAAATTAAAGAGTGGATATTTTTGTTTGTTTTGAACTCCTCGTTCAACTTGAATATCAGACACGTGGAAAAATGTTTCTTATTAACTTTCTGTCCTTCATTATAACTTAGTAGTACACTTGGAGTGACTTCTTAAATCGCAAAGTATATAACGATTGGAAAAATATCAGCAAATACGCGAAATAATCAAGAACAATAACTGTACCACTGATTACTTTATGCCTTGCCGAGTCATGAAACATCAAAGGATGAAGGTCAGATTGTGACCATGATGACCTCAAGCAAACAAACACCAATCGTACTTATGTCAAGAAGAAGACTAATCGGTCCATCTTGATTAGAGCAGGTATGTGATTCACTGATCTAGGTAATCAACTTCCAACCAGTGGGTCACAGGTCCTGTTGTACGGCTATGAGACATGGTCGTTAAAAGTGGAAGACATGAAGTGGTTGTGGACTTTTGATCAAAGACACCCTTGTAGCATTGCTCGAGTGTAGTGGGATCACCATATGAGCAATGAGGTCGGGAGAAAGGTACTAGGCAAGATAAGCGAGTCGATTGATGACGATGTGTACCTTAGTCGACTGAGATGGCTTGGACGTGTTGCGCATCCTGAGTTACCGCCTACCTCGACATTCCATGCTTGTGGAAGCTGGATTAGGTTAGAAGAGGATTCTAGACGACTAGACAAAGACGTGGCACCAGTGCATGAAGTGTCTTACTGTTGATCCGAGTCATATGAAGACAAGAAGATTGCCTGCCTGAGGTCCTAGAGACGAAAGGAACCGGAGGTAGAGGACTGTTAGTGACATGGTTAGAAATAGGTCACAATGGCACAGATGTATTCACTCCTTGATGTCCTCTAGAGCTTGAATATTCGCACTAACTGCTTTCTTCAAATTGTTTATTCTCTCACAACTGTATCTTCTTTGATGTTACTCTTTCCCTATCCACCTGTTCTTTGTATACTACTGTGAATTGTGTCAACTTGAATCGATGCACCTGTGTACGAAGTTCTACGTTGACTCTATCAGTCGGGTCACGGGTTCGAACTGCGTTTCACTTACAAATGCCTGAGCAACCACGTATCAGCTCTTTCACAATATGTGTAGGTCATTGCTGCCTGTATGAACGTGCGCTTGTTGATTACACTTGGGTTTTTAAGAAGTTCTGATTGGTCTACGAAAATCCCTAACCGTCGAATAACACTGTGCTGACCAAACAGCAGCATAAAACAAACAAAACCTGGAGATAAAAAGTTTAATCTCGGCGTAAAATAACCTGGAATGCTAGTCTCCATTTGATCACATCTTACAGAAACATCTCAGCAAATTAGTCGTTTCGTTAGTGAATTCATCACGCACTTTCTCAGTTGAACACTAAACAAACTGTTTCACTTAATGAACCAACTTGTTCATATTTCCGCTCTATGGCTTGCATCAAAACTTCTGTAGTTTACACTTCCAACCATTTCGTACTTCACCGTTTGCGTGAAACAAACTTGAAGTACTATTTATGCTTTGCCTAATTGAGAAGAAGAGATTTTAACCGAGACATACCATATTAAAGCTTTCCCAGTGGTAATCGCATAGCCATTCATAAGATTGGAATCGGACATTCGTCGTACAGCACAGCAGTTCCTGCTACTCGTTCCATATCAGATATTGATAACAGGCAACGATGATAGTTTATGTTTTACTGATAAGTTCGTATACAATGAAGGAATATTGATTGATGCTATGAACTTAATAATCGTAGCCAGGGTTTACAAGTTTCCACAGGATCAAGACACATTCACTCAACCATCTCTATCACAGATATCTGATCCCAAAGGACCCCATTCACCTAAATCTTTGTGATTTACATCCCTGAAGTCGGTTGTTCTATTTCTCTGCCTCCCATGCGCCACTTACTTTTGCTACAATAAATAAGACGCTGTTTTCTGATTGAGTTCCCCTTTGCTTATATGCTACTTAGCTTGTCTGTATAGGAACGACAATACTGTACTGACAGTTTATATTGTCTGATTGAAGTTAATGCAAGCAGTTTCTCCCCATTCACTTTCTCTAGGTCCAACCTTTTTGAAGTCAGTATAATTGTAATTCATAACGATTTCGTCAACCTAAATATTGAAACACTCCAATATCTGTGCTGATAAGGCGACATTTTCTGAAGCGAAAAAGATAATTTCTTTCTCATTTGCCCCGTGTGATGTTACCCTTCTTATACTTTCAGTTTCATACTGAGTATTAATGAGTAGTATAATTCGTGAGTTCCTACAATGTTACTTCATCCACAAGTTGATTGTTCATTCTAGTCAATTGTATCTTGTTCACTATTTAACATTCCTAGATGTTGGCAACCTTCCCGGTTAAGATTCTTTTTGTTCATTCATGAAGAACCGTATTTCAGACAAATCCTGTGTTTTGAATTTTATGTGGAACCCCAGCGTTCGGTCCATTGTTGGAGAATCACAATTTCGATTATAAGTAAATACTTGCTAAATTAGAGACTTTAGGTATCTCTCTTAGAGTGTTCGGAGAACGAACCTCTGAAACGCAGATAACCGACATGTCCTCATAACCAGCATCGAAAAGATGTTAGGATTTCAGGAAGTTCAACAGCCTTTCCAATCTACATGATGCAGGGGATGATATCTAGAAAGACATTTACAGCAACTAGCTCATTCTGTCTTAAGTAATATGATGGGAATAGTTTTGATGTCCAGGAAACGTAGGTAAATTTATTAACATATAACATACAGTTCTCGACATCCCAGTCTATCCCTAAAAACGGTTCATAATTAGCAGCCGTTTTGAGGGGATAACCAGAACTAGTTGTTGCTAGAGCTCCAAAGGTGAAAAAACTATTCGACGAAAAGTAAATATAATTTGGTTTAGCGAGGAAACATACTACGAAGTCTATGTGGAGAATCTTTGGCTTCAAATACACGAAAAAACTGGCTACGAAATCTCCTTAGTGATACAATTTTATTAGCTCACTACTTATTATTAGTATCATTCACATCAACGACAACTTTGTAGATGATACCTAAAGTAATTTAGAACACACAAAACGCTGATATGAAAAAGACAAAGATATGATGTAGTAGTCAATTGATGATAAATACTGACACTCTCACACCTATCGAAACTGGTTTCCTAGACGGATGGCTGACCATCATACTAAGAGGCGCATTAATACACAGAGAAGACTAACCGCGAATTTACACTTATTTTAAAAGTGAAACATTTCATAAACGCCATACACACCGCAAAAGAAACATGATTCAAATTTAATTCCAAATACCGATTACTAGATGATTTTCTACTTCACAAACATCTTCATTACAATTAGATATCAATAGAATAAAGCACTGATACTGACTGCCCTATCTCCAGATCAATCTTAGGATATGAGCTAAACCCCTTGGTTACTATAATAAATCCAGTCTAAATGAATTTTCAAGTTATCATCAGATGATAAGATTACCAGGATCATACTGATTCCAGATACACGAGACAACAATATGCCCTTCCATCATAACTTGTGATAAGTATCTTCAAACTAATAATCACTGTCAAGAATAATTGTAAGACAGGAGAAAAAGTAAACGTAGTACAGATAAAACTTTTCAATACGCTAACATACCATAATAAAAATCAACACTAAACCAACCAATCATTAGTTTGTAATAATAATAATAATAATAAATAACAATTATGCAGTAAATAACAACATTGGTCAAGAATTAAATAAGAGAGAAATTCAGTTAGAGAACAACAGTAAGGCTAAAAGTAGTATCCCACTCAAGAAAAACAAACAACCCGCCCCCCCCCACCCAAGGAAAAACAATTTAGAAATCACAGTAATAAGCGATTCAACAGTGTTGTGAATCAGTATATGTCCAAGAACCAACAGTCGCACACACACACACACACACACACACACACACACATGCAAATACAGTATGCTATATATGCATTTGTGAAAAGTACTTTTCTAAAGATTATAAGGGATATAAGTATGAGAAACACATTGAGAGAAATAGAAGCAAATAATAATTGAAAAAGAAAGTAAAGATGATGCTCATTCTTTTTTTTCACATGCAAAACTAGTTTCTTCTTTGGAAAAAAACAAAACAACTTCCAAGTAAATATTATCACGAAACATTTACAATGTTAAAACATCTGAGATTACGTATATAAATAATAATAATAATAATAATAATAATAATAATAATAATGGTAATGATAAAATCTGTGTGCACGTATATACAAGATGGAGAGAGAACAGACTTAACTAAACAACTCTCCATCACTCCTATATCCATCCATATCAAAGTAGGCTAGCTAGCTAACTACCACCATCCACAATTGATAATGAGCAAAACTATAAAAGGAATGCTGTGTAGAAAGAAGCAGAAAAACAACGGTAGCCAAACTAAGCCTACTATTGAAAGTAGTAATAATAATAATAATAATAATAATAATAATAATAATAATAATAATAATAATGTTAATGATAAGAGAGGTAGAGAATAAATAACAGCAAGCAATAATGGTTATTATCATAACCAGCTTTGATAATAGATCACATCCTACGATAAAAGGCTACAAACCCGGTACATTACGTTGATGATATACATATTCCGTGCTCAACTCAGAGGAGTGTTCGTCAGAGGCAGGTAGTAGATTGACACCACCAGGATGAAGATGTTGTATAGACTGATCAATCAGAAATCCTAATTCTTGTTTACGTGTTTGTTGGTGGTGTGCAACGGCTGCCGCGGCGGCTGCAGCAGCATAATAAGAAGCGGCAGCAGCTGCACCTGCTGGATGTTCAACAAAATCATGACCACCTGTTGTTGCCCAATCTCGAGATGATATCTGTTGAGAATTTTGATAAGAAGTTTCATCACAAGCAGTGGGTATACTCTCTTGATGGATAGTAGGCATTCTGGTGATGAGACTGTGTTGAAGTTGCTGTTGAGTTTGTTGTTGTAACTGTTGTTGTTGCAACTGGAAAAACATAAGATTATGATATGCGGCAGCCGCTGCATGGGCTGCTGATAACTGGTGATTTGACTGCACCACCTGTTGATCATCTCTTGTAATGGATAATTGAGGATGTTTACGTACATGTCTGCGATTAGGTGTATGCTCTGTCGCCTTTTGAGTGTTACTCGAAAAAATATCATTGGTCAAATGATGACACATTCGCTGGGGATTTGAATTATTACCATTAATAACATTATTACTACTATTACTATTTAGAGATTGCTGTCGGAACGGTGATGTGAACACAAACAGACCAGGATTAGCTCCCCAAACTCCAGACTCTCGGTTAGATGAGATATAGTTGTTAGGTGATGATATAGACCGATTAGAGGAATGTATGCGATGTGAATCTTCCTGTTTAATCATTGGCTGGACGCGGCCAACTGGTACTAAAACAGAAAAATTTAAAATCATTGCCAATTTTTCAAAAAAAAAAATACCTTTTGGAACATTCTAGAGATACATGTGTAACACAACCACCGAGTAACTGACTAAATAACAGTGATTGATAAACTACTAGACAATAGTCTTATACTGATTAGCGAGATGATGGTGGAACTTTGGCACTGAGGTAGATTATACTTCCATTTTAGCTAGTTTATTAGGTGTATCCAAATATATTATTCGCATTCATATTAATAAATTGTTTCTTAAACATCATCCAGTAGATGATACAATTTCACTGTTATGCTAGTGATAATAATAATAATAATAATAATAATAATAAAACTATAGCAGAATCCCTTTATTGAAAGATCAAGTATTCAGCTGTGGATTTGTGATTACGAAATGAAAATTCCTGAGATCTGTTTCTATAGAATACCTTTTTTAACCGACAACTTCCTAAGAGTCCACGAACGAACGATGCAACCAAGGAAATAAATCTGTAATATTGTTTCGATGAGCACATAGTCTGAAGGGGAGATATCATCATCATCACCATAGGATCAGGCATTACTGGCGTTGCCGTCCAAGTTGCCACATCTCACATCAGCACATAGAGTAATGAGGCAATAAAATGGAAGATGAAGAAGGAAAGCAGAATCAGTCAAAAGAAGTATAAAGTAGTAAAAGAGAGGAAGGAGGAAAGAAGGAATGATGAGATTAAGTATGGCGGTTAAGATGAGGATAGTGTGTGTATGCATTTGTGTTAATGACATCGGTTCTGAGCTATGTTACCTAGAGTCGCCAACCCTGGTTTCTCTTGTCCAGTGGACCCCGACCAACTAGTCTGCATCACCCTACGTGGCTCAAAACAACAGTCAGGCACTTCATGTATTGATGCCATGTTTTAGTCTGACAATCTCGAACCTTTTTCAAGTCCTAACCTAATTCGGCCAACATTGTGCGATGTGGTAGATGCTGGCTAAGCATAGGTGACACATCTCGGACATCCCAGTCGATGAAAGTTCCCAACCACATCAACTGACTTACCTCTCCTACCCGAAATTCTCCTTGCGGCTGTCACAAGACGTCTTCTCTTTTTTCTAGAAAACTGAGACAATCAGCGGTTGGGACCGATTAAAGCGGATCATATCTGGTTCCCATACACTACTTAACACGTTGAATAACCTAGTTAACAATCTGCGACCATAGTCCTTAAATACCTGTGGTACTAGGCCACCTAGCCCTGTTGCTCTTCATCCTTTAGAGTCACTTGAAACCTTCCCAGCTTCTGTGAGCATTAGACTGCCTATCTCAATGTTTCATTCACGATCCGACTGAATAGAGGGCAGCGAAATATTAGCTTGAGGTCATTTGAACTGTCACTCCAAGTGTTTCACTCATTGTTCCAGTCGTCTTCTCTGCTAGTGAATCCTATTCTTCGTTATAGTCTCACTAACCACATACTTTTTTGCCTCGATTTCCTTCATAAGTCGCTGTCCCCTGTCATATATCGCCACTGTCTTTTGTGCTTCTTCAGCCTCCGCTACCCACCACTGCTAGTAGTCATTGAGTAGCCTTTCTGCCAGTCTATTTGACATACTGCCTATTCTCATTGTGTTCGGAGTCTGAAAGAATGCTAAGATCCTAGCCTCTTCCTGAGAGTCAGTTACGATTTCTAACTCCATTTTCACAGAACACAGATGACGCCAAGCTTTTTCCGAATAAGTGAGATTGTCAAGTTCCTTTGAATGTCTAGCCAATTCCTCATTCAAAACAGCTTCGATACTCTCCTCGACAAGCTGTACTGAGAATGATCTTGTTGCTGTACTTTTTCTTACATTCATCTGAGTGCCAATATGGGTGTGCCCGTACCAACGCTTGATTACCTTTCAAACACGTGCTCCAGAAGGGGCGGTAATCTTCTACCGACCTTCTTCAGTGATAACTGACTCCATCTAAGATTAGTGTCAAGTTGAGGTTAGTGGAAGCCACGTCTAGGATTTCAAAAGTGTCGCTCAAGTGTCTTTCTATCTGACTTAGCCAATTGAGGATTGAAATCACCTGCTACGACAACAGTATCCTGAAAGTAGGGGCTAGAACAGTTTTCGGTAGAACTTACCCTTTATTTCATCCAGAACCGCAGAGATCATAAAGAGTTTCACTGTTCTTCTTAGTACTCACTGAATCATTCAGTCGAACAGTGCATACGCCAATGTCAACTGGGATCCAGTTGAGCACTGTGCTTTTGCCTTAGAACTAAACACTATATCTACATCTGCAACGTCGCGAAAACTATCAAAGGAAAAGTGGAGTTTGCAAATAAATTTAATTAGTAGCTTCAGGTTAAGTGAATAACTGCACTTGGATCTTGTATGTGGGTTTCATAAACAGCACATGCCTGTGGATGGAAATGCCAGGTTGTCGGCTATGGAAGCTTTTTGTCCGATTAGACACAGGGTGTGAACATTGAAAGCTCTGTGTAATTTGGAGCGGTTTCGGGAGACTAGTGATCCTGTTCCGTGGACTTGAATCATTATCAAAAGCTGGAACAACTTAAAATTGACATAAGGATATTGACTGGAAGATGAAAGTAGTTTATACTTCCAGGTCGCCCACACCATGGAAGGTAACTTCCTCCTGAAATGCCTGGAGGAATTAGATAAGTGGTAGGAAACACACTCAGCCACCTTGTGTAACATCCGTGCAGTAGGCAATGAGCCACATCTATTTTGTGAGCACTAGTGATACTACCTGGTTGCCCAAACCTCGATAGGTGGAGCGGGCTTCAAACTCGCGGCCCAATAGTTGATAGCCATCTCCCTAAACCACTGAGCTGCAGCCTCACATAACAGCTGTGCATGACCACACAGCCTACGGGACATTCGTTTGGGGCCGGTCACATACGGCTTTTTTGGAATTTCCAGGATTAGCTTTGATTTGCATTCAGTGAGAAAACCCATACCTCCAGCACGAGGAGACTACAGGATAGGGGGTGTGCTGTCTTCGAGACCAGTCTTTCCTAACCACCCTTCTTCCCATAGGTAAAGCAGCATACGCATGGTACTGTTGCTCATCCACAGGCAACACCTTACTGGTAACACACGGCACCTGGTTACCAGTACGACTTCACCCTCAGATCCCCATCACAGGGTAGCAATCTACTCCAAAATGATAACTCCTTTTTGTCTTATCACTATCCAAAAGACCTTTTTGGTAAAATAGGAGTTTAAGAAACAAATTTTTTCACCCCTACAACTTGTAAAGAATAGGAACTTACTTTTTTATCCGAGCGTGGTTGGCACATCACATCGAAGGTTGACTTGTATGACCTAAGAGAAGTTAGAAAACAGCAAAACTAGAGGTACTTTCAATTGAGAAAAATTGAGTGTGACAAAGTAGTACACTGATAGGACTTTATTCACAAGTCACTACTTGAAGAGATCCCTGACTAAAACGTCAAGTACATCTTGAGAAGTTACATTGTCAATTATGGTAATAGATCATTCAAAAACATTCTAGATAGTAAAACAAAAAAAGGTAGTCAACAAGCTTCTTGAGCTACCATTTTTTTAAAAATCTTATTGTACTGCAATTTCACTTTATTTCTCAGATAAACAAACAGGGTAACGCCATAAATGTTCAAAGTTAGTAAATACTAAACTAATACCCTCGAATTCATAGTAATGAGATTTACATTGACAACAGCTTATGGGTGTTGATGTCACCTACAAAATAAGTGAAATAGTTGATGGATTTAACTACTTTATTGATTCCTAAATTAGGCAGGGTTATGCATCAGTATTAAAGTACTATATTGAACTTGATGAATGCGAAAAACGCATCAAACATCGGTTTTTGTTAAAAGTATTCTTACACAATAGGTAACCTGTGTACTCTATAGTTTATTCTTCCCTAATAAACTAAATCAATATTCAATTGTGAATAGCAGATAGTACTGTAGAAAATATCTACCTCATATTGTGTTTTCAACAATTTATCTTTAATACAAGTGTATAACAGTATAGAGAGAGAGAGGGAGGGAGAGAGAGAGTAATTGAGAACACAAAGAGTACTGACTATATTTCACAACTTCATCCTTTTCTTTTTTATGTTCAATTTTGTGATACAGACAAATGGATCCTTAAAATAATCTATTTAGATCAAGTTTTATATGGGAACTGCAGAGTATTATCAACTTCAGCATAAATAAGTGGAGATTTACGATACACAAAAAGTAAAGTATCTCTCTATAAAAATTTTCACGATTAGGTCAACACTACTTGGAAACACCATTTACTATTCTTACAGTAGGATAAAAAAAAACATAAAACTGTGTAGATGTTTACAAAATGGTTCAAACTGTCTACCAGTTAATCAATTAAGAAATGGATCTAACTAGGAGGGAAAACAATAAAATGAAGACCGTATATATATGAAGTTAATTTACGACAGTGATTGAAGAATCACTGAAATTCAGATAGTAGTGGAAAGACCTTTTACGCTATTTTAGAATTCATTAACAGCATGCGTTCGTAACCCTTTATAAGTGTAGATGGGATTCAAAACGTCCAACATTGTTTGTAAATGCTTGCAATTCATGAAGTAATGGGTTTATGATGCAATGTTGAAAAGTTTTGCGTTTATCCGGGGATTTTTGATGACTGGTCAACTGTTTGGCTTTTCAAATTGACTATAGAAACATGTGTATGTCTTTATTGAGTGAGCATAATATAAGACTTACCCTGTAGATCCACATTCTGATTTGATTGAAGTATTATTTGGAATCATTTCTAATGAACAATTAAATGAATCATCCTGGGCTAAACGATGAGCAATCTGATTTACAATCTCAGAACTTGATTCAATTGCAGCTGATGAACGCTTTATACGACTCAGATTATAAGATGAACCTGAAAATTGTCAACATAAAAATGATTCGAAAAAACAACCACGGAAAAAATGACAAAAGTTTGTTGATAAGAACTACAGTTTCAATGGATAGAAAATACATATACCTGTCATCATAGAACTAAGAAGTAACAGAAGGGAAAAAAAATTTCCTTATCGACGATTTCATTTTATTACCTATGAATAAGTAATAGGGAGAAGTAACAAATAATAATGCTTTTGAACATAAAGTTCAGTTTTAATTTTGTGAATCGTCAATAATTTGGTTGTGTATACAATAACGTAGTAAAAGTATATCCGCATTATACGGAGGAATTTTATATTTTACCTTGAAGAAACTACTGAGAGCGCGGTTACATGTCCGAAGATGATGGTGTTTAAGAATAGAATTGCTGATATTCCTCCTCTCTCCAATGGATAAAAAGCTCGACAATGCTCCGGAAGACATTTTATGGACTTGGCGTTATGTTGCTTCACAAGAAAAAGTAAGTTAATAGATTCACATCAATGAGGTCTAAAGTGATACTGGAGAATGCAATTTTCAAGATGCCCATGCGAGACGTCTTCCACAGAGATCTTAAGAGGTGACTTTGGGGGATTTCAGCTGTAATGTCACCCTTTCAATTTCAAAACCCTATACGAGGCTATCATTAAGACGATAGATAAATTTTGCATTCATGTTGGAGTCAATAAATCAATTTTCGGTAGGATGTAACGCAGAAATCTCAACTAATTATCAAGTGTAACTTTGAACAGGTGTTCTGAATCCTTGAAAATAACGAAAGCTTAAACCTGTTTGTGTCAATGAAAGCGATATAGCTTTGATAAACTATCCAGTCGTCATGTTCCTTTTTGACTCACTGATCCCCGATATCCTTGTAAGCAGCACATTTAGGAACATGTTCTACGCTCGAAAGAATTCTATGCGTAAATAAGCAGTAGTGGTGTTGAGGAGATTGCTCAAGTCAAATTCTTCATCACATATGATAAAAAATATCATCGATGTACCTTTTATGAAAGTGCAGTTGGCTGATTTAGTGGAGTAAAGAATTCAATATTCAAGATAGGCCATAAAACAACTAGCTAGAAAGTGGAACACGAAAGCAGTTTAAAAACATGATTCTTCTTCATATAGAACTCTTTGTTGAACTTGAAGTGAATGTTGAAAAAGCATGTCTTTTGCAGAACTTAATGTAGTTACATATGACGTGTATAGTTTCAATCAGGGGAATGTTTGTTAAGAGAGAAGTAACATTCAGAGAAAGCATTTGTTTCTTGAACACGTCGACATTATTCACCAATGCGATGAAATCAAACGTGTCAAATTAACGACTATAAAATGTGGTATTCACAAATAAATCCTAATTAACGAAGTTTTATTCAGCTGCTTCGACTGTCGCAATTTAATAACTTCAAATTATACCTGATGAAATTTCAGTACGGATACGGTGAGATTCTACTTGAGGTGCTTTAATAAAAGTTAAGCATACCATCTATGTTCTGTAAATTTCTGGTAGTAGACAACAGTTTCCAACATGGAGGTTGCTCGTGCTGAACGTTCAGAATAAGAGTAAACCACTGGGATCGATGCTTCATGTTGATCTTAGAGTATTGAGGTATCAGTTTCTATTCTGGTCTGACAGTGACATGGCTACAACCAATATGACTTTTTTAAATGAATCTCACAGAAAAAGTAGTGATCGAGCAACTTCAAGTACAAGCATAGACCGAAATTGTATGCACTATAACGTATGGATCACCTTAGCGAAATTATTCCCCATCATACCAAATTTGATGTTATTTCCTACACTAACAGTAGTCGGATAACCCTACATTACCGTACTACTATTGATACAGGACCGAGAGTAGAAATGGTTGTATAACGTAAATTTAGTGCAATTTTTGTACGAACATCGTTTTTTGTAGCTTTACATCAAAAGCACCCAAAAAACGCTGACACTCATGTATAAACGATTAAGTCCCTGGAAGATGACCATGGTAAACCATTAAAGATGATTTTCTTTCAACGAAGTTGAATGATCCTTATTAACTGTAAGACTTTTATTGCACTATTAGAAGAGACAACCTCACCTAGGTAACTACTTCACTAGTTACTAGTCGGTCCTAAGCCCGGATAATGAAAGAAGATTGAGCACAGGCTTAGCAACCCTACCCCGGGACAAGACAACATTATTCCTCACTGGAATCGGAGAGACGAAATGATGCCGGTTGGTGAAAGCATTCGGGAACCAAACTGGTCGATGTGTCTTCTCTTCTCTCCATCAAAGCAAAAGTAAACATGGGGACATGGAATGTTTACACCATGTTTGAACCTATCATTTCTAACCAGACTGACAGAGATGAGAAGTTATGGTATGGAAGTGCTAGGAATCTGCGAAACCAGATGGAATCGAAGTGCACTCTCCAAACTGTCAACTCCACAGTCAATAATCTACTCCAATATTGTCACCCAGACGACAACCAAGAGCACAATGAGTTTCGGAGTGGATATCATGATGTCTCCATCAGCATCGAAGGCTCTCTCTCATCTAGTGGGAACCAGTCTCCTTCACGATCATCACAGCAAGGTCCAACTCAAAAGGAGAGAAACTCACAATCGTACAATGCTACGCTATGCACCTACAAATAATGCAGATGAAGAGAAGAAGGAGGAGTTATACAGACAACTACTATCAGTGATAGACAAGACTCCACTAAAGATCGCCACATCAAAATACATTCTAATGGGTGGGGTCACATGAATGCCAAACTGAGGTGAGAGGACAACACAGGAAGAGAACTAACCATGGGTCGACAAGCACTCGGTGAGGTGATGAACGACAATCGAGAAGTGTTTGCAGATCTCTGTGCATTCAACCATTTGGTGATTGGAGGCGAGGCAGTGTGTACAAGCACAACGATATTCAAAAGGCAGACACATGGATTCCACTTCGCCAGACACCAGGACACACTAAAAAGCGACTTCAGATCGAATTCATCTCAATCTCAAGAAGGTGAAGACGCAGCCTACTGAACACAACATCAGATCAAGAAGAGCAGTGGATGTAGGTTCACACCACTCACTATCTAGTGCTAGCATCTTACCTTCTAAACCAAGTTGAAAGCCTTCAATTCAAGGAAGTTGGTGACAGACCACAGTTCAATTTCAACACTCGGAAACTGAACTGAAGGACGAAACTACAAAGGAAATCTTCACGTCAGCCAGCCATCAAGACAAATTGGGAGATATTGAGCAACATCCCTGAAAAAACCTGTGTGGATGAACACTGGAAGTCTTTGAAAGCTATGTGGAACGAAACCTGCACAACTGTATTAGGAAGGAAGAAGAAAGAAGGTAGGGAATAGATTTCGACGGACACAGGGAAGCTGATAGAGCAGGGAGAGAATGATGGTGATGGTGAAGCAGAAGAGAAACCAGTGCAGTGCAAGGATGAAGGATGAGAAGAGGAACTGAGCACAATGTATACAACACTGGACAAAGAAGTGAAGAAGAGTGCGTGGTAAGACAAAAGACACTTCTACGACACATTGGCAAGTGAAGCAGAACAGGCTGCAGGTAGGAGAGACCTGACAACATTGTATCAAATAACCAGATTACTATCTGGAAGGGAAAAGATCAACGCAGATGGAACCAGTAAAAGATGATAAAGGAAACCTAATCATCAAAAAAGAGAAACAAAGAAACGACAACTTCGAAAAGCTCTTGTATCGACCACCACCAACACCTGCACTTCGTCCACAAATATCACAGAACTACAAGTGAACACAAGCCCTCCGACGAAAGTCGAAGTCCTGAATGCCATTAGGCTACTGAAATGCGGGAAAGCAGCAGGACCAGATGGAATTCCACCAGAAGCACTGAGAACAGACGTAGGGGCAACAGCGGACATGCTCACACCATACCACTGTTGCAGAAGGTTTGCAAGGAAGGAAGGAAGGAAGAAAAGGTACCTGTCCATTGATTGGAAGAACGGCTACCTCGTCAAACTTCCAAAGAAGGGCGACCTAAGTGTTTGCAGGAACTAGCGAGCAATCATGCTCCACTCCTGTCCACCCCAAGCAAAATATTATGCCGCATCATCCTGCAGACTGAAGGATGCGCTCGATTCAAAACTACGACCGGAACAGGCTGGCTGACTCAGGAAGTACAATTCATGTACGGACCAAATTGCAACGCTACACTTCGCATCATCATAGAACAGAGCATAAAATGGCAGTCAACTCTCTACCTCAACTTCATCGACTTTGAAAAGACCTTCGCCAGTGTCGATAGTCCCGAGAAGTATTTTTGCAGGCAACTGATTCAACACTACGGTTTTAGTGCCACAAACCTTTATCAGCCTCATTCAACAGCTATATGCTATGCTATATGATAAGCAAGTGATTCACAATGGAAAGCTTGGTGACACCTTTGAAGTGAAGACAGGAAGGAGTAAGACAAGGCTGCCACCTACTATCACCGATGATCTTCCTGATTGTGGTCGACTGAATCATGTAGCAAACCGTGAGGAACTGTGAGAAGATGGGCATACACTGGCTGGACCGATGAAAAGAGCCTAGAAGTTTTGGATTTCACCAACGATGACGATTTATGTCTAGTGTCTTGTCGCACTAACTCGAAGATCTACAGGGGAAAACCAACAAGTTGGCAGAGGAGGCAGGGCGGGACTTCCTTCATGTGACCATAGAGAAGACAGGCGTGATGAAGATACCCAACCAACAACAACAACAAGTACCAATCACCATCAAAGAGAAGAACCTAAAGGAAGTAGTCGCTTTCACCTACCTAGGTAGCATCGTTTCAACTACAGGCGATGGCATAGATGAGGATGACAAAGCCAAGATTACAAAAACAAGACAGGCCTTGATTAATCTGAAATCAGTGTGGGGATCTACTGCACTGCACTGCACTCAGCATAAAACGTGAACAAGATCCGAATTTTCAACGCTAGTGTCAGTCAAGTGAGTCAGTGCCTCTACGTTATGGTTGAGAGATTTGGCAGGGCGTTATGAAAAGCATTCCCAACAAACTACAGATATTCATCAACAGTTGCTTACGCTCAATGCTGAAGATCAGATGGCCGGAATAATAAGAATAAGCAACAAGGAACTGTGGCCGGGCAGCGAACTAATCAAGAACTCATCACCCAACAACTATGAAGAAAGTGGAGTTGGATTGAGCATACATCGAGAAGACCATTCGGAGACATCAAGAGCCAGGCCCTCGAGTGGAATCTAAAGGGGGAAACGACAGGTTGTGCGTCAGAGGGTGACGTGGAGGAGATGGTGTGAGGAAGAAACGTAAGCTTGTGGGGAGTGGTGGAGCCATGTTGAAAAGACTGCAGAGAACAAAGAGAAATAGATACGTGCTACTGAAGCCGTATATTCCACTAGGAACCCAAAGGACAAATAATAATAATAATTAGAAGGGACAATCTATGGAAAATGAAATGAATCACAGAGGAAGTGACATATTTACTACTGGTATACATGCATTCACACACGTACCTGTCATTTTTTTCCATAAGGATATATCACCACACTTACTTGGAGGAAGCATAGATAAGTTCACAGCATTATTTACTGTTGGTTCTGAATTATTCGTCACCAAATTCATAGGTACGCAATCCACATCACTTACAAAATGGTTGGTTGACTGGCTGTGTGTCATAGAAAGTCTACGGATATCACAATAATTAGCTACAACAGGTTGTTGTTCCTGGCTTTGAAATGAAGATTCTTGACGTGATAAAAATTGTGGAGCTGTTGAACTGTTCACGTCATACACTGATGAGCGCTTAAAATAAAATAACCAGTGATAACCAGTGGAATAAAATTTAAGAAATAAACCAGTAGATACAAACGAACAAATTTTATAGTTGGTTGTATAAAAAGTAAACCTAAATTCAAAAAGCAGTAGGCTAACAATAAGTCACTAGAATACAACGTGCAGGGATATCACAAGATAATGAACGACATTGCATTATATTTTTCACAACTGACAGGAATCCGTCAGTCACTTAGGATAAATTAGTCAACATCCCAATCCACTGCGTTTTGGATTAAGACAACTCCTATTGTGTCCAGTGGCAAACCAGTAAGTTTAAGGAAGTTAACTTGAGTTGCAGAACTTAAGCTGCAAGATACAAAAATCGTAAAATAAAATTTCCACGACTCATAAGTTAACCTTGATATGGAGCAGAAATTAATTGGTCTGAGCATTTGGTTTCTGGTTCGAACTCCGTTCTGTCTACCTACGTTTGAACAGTCAGGCAGTGTCATCAGCCCTCAAACAAAAGATGTCACTCGCTGTCTAACGCATGGCTATCCACATGATTTCTGAGAAAGTCTAGTCTCTTGGAAGTTTAAGAAAAAATAAGTGGAAATACACCATAACTTATTTAGACATGTTAGGTTGCAATTCATCATCAACTGACACCAACTGGAGAAACATTGGAAGCCTGGGAGCACTAGACAGCTGTCTCATCCTAGTATGGGACTCCCCAGGGGTGTGGACTCATGACCCCACTTCGTCAGGGATCGAACTCAGGACTTTCAGGTCCCGTGGTCAGCACGTTACCATTGAGCCACTAGGTCGGAATCCAGTGGCCCATATTTCCAACTTCTGTCAGTTCACGATACAGAGCGACTTACATCTGTCATCGTTGAGTAACTGTCCTCAATTAGTAAACCTACATAAACCCACAGATAGAACTAATCTAGCGCTCATTGGTGACTAGCACCGAGAGATGATTCCCGAAGTTCCAATGAGAAGTCGTGACCCGTGGAGTCAACCAAGTCGAACATGAGGACAGTTACTCGACGATGACATTGGATGTAGGTTGCGCTATATTGTGAACTGACAGAAATCGGAAATACGGACCACTGGATTCCGACCCAGTGGCACAATGGTAACGTGCTGACCACAGAACCTGAAAGTCTGGGATTCGATCTCTGGCGGGGTCGTGGGTGCGCACGGCTGAGGAGTCCAGTACTGGGACGAGAACAGGTCTAAATCTTACATTTATCAACATTTCCTGCATTCACGGTGTTTTCTCACAGGAAGAAAATAAATGTCTCGAAAGAAATCTTGAAGCGACCCAGATAAACGATACCCCTCCCCTCCCCCCCATCAGGGCGTGCAGTAAGTTGGCTAACTACATTAAAAACTTGATGTGACCTGAAACTATTTATAAAACCAAAGACTTAGTGTGCAATAGGAAACACCCGAAATCGTCACCCATCATAACAAATAAGTGGTGTAGTAGGTATAGAACAGATTACTTTGGCATTACACTTGTATTCTGTTGAATCAGGCAAACAGAATTAACTTGATGCAAAGCTTTTTACGGTCTTTCTTTCTACCAGTGAATCTCTTAGCGGGACTAATTTATGACATGGAACCAAGATATCGGACTAATTGATTGGCTTTAAACTAGGTCAATAAGAGGGACACAATACAGAACAATGGTAACTACTCAACAAGCGTAGACTCTACTCTTCTATTTTTGAAACTAGCAGAAACTGACCATCTGATCCACAAACGACTAGAAGATGGGTAGACCGAAGTCCTTAAACTGGGTAATCACACACTGATTTTGGTCCAGTTGTAAGACATAGGTTCATAAACATATATATATCAGTTTAAGTGGTGTGGCCCGTTGATTGATTTAGTTTAGGCTGCATATGTTGGTATTTCTAATATGCAGTTGGGAGAGATTTTATGCATCAGGGGTGCCATATCTTAGACTTAGATTGCTGGTGCTAAGTAAAGAGATGTAAGACTTCGAATCAATGTTTAGCCAACTATCAGCAATTCTACAGAAACGACGGTGACCGAACACAGAGTCGTCAGATATCCTTGGCATGGAAAGGTCAGACTTCACAGACATAGAACAAAACTGCTAGCACTGACGAGGTGTATACCCGACCTTTTAAAGAAGGGCTAACGTCAAGATGAGAATCGAGAGAAATCAGAACCCACTCAACAACCTTGTCCACATTAGTGCAGTAAGTAATGAGCCACATCTATTGTGTGAGGGTTAATGATAATGCGCCTGGCTGTTCATGCCTCGATAGGTAAAGCGGTGCTCGAATCCGTGACCCATTGGTTGAAAGTCAACTGCCTACACTAATGAGCCGCATTTCCACAACGTCACGATGGCACTCACATATGCGAATGCCACTTCAAGGTTCCATATATGGTGAGAGGAACTGAATGCGAGAAATAAATTGATTGATGCCAGCGATTTTAACATGGATTTTTGCATGCTTGGAAGTACTGATGGTCGACTGAGTATCTATGACTACTAACCTCTAGTGGATAACCTAAAACACTAACAGAAAAAGCATCGAGATACAATGTTTGACAAGATGTCTACGCATTTCCGATTAACTGTAGACGCAGGAACCAAATCGCTGTAAACCATCGTAGCACGTGATCGGTGGATGATTGCCACTCTCCTATTGGAGTACCTACTCGGAAGATCTTAATAACACGTTAGTACAGGTAAGCGTCTTTGGGTCACAATTAACGAACATAACAAACAGCACAAAAACTTGCGCACCGTTTGAAGATGAGATCAAATCTCCATTCAGTAAGCAAGTAGCTAAGTATTCATATGAATATGGTAGGAAATTTTGCTTGGAGGAAACATGGCTTGACATTCAGTCTGGACAACATACACCCAAAGGTTAGCAAAAGTCAGTGGATTTCGACAACCTGGTCCAAACTGACCGATGCGAGAAGACTCATCTCAGCTGGATGTGATCACAAAGAGGAGTAAAAACAGCCTAAAAGCAAAATGACTACGAGTATTCATAATAACTGAGAGCAATGGTGGGTGGCGAAAACGGAAATGATGAAGTTATTGTTACTGGCTAGTACTACTTAGCAGTTACTTAAGTGTGCCAAGGAAAACGTAACCAACAAAACGATGACTAGTGAGACTATTACCGAAAAGGATGGGTCCTTGATAACTTCGAAAGGCGAGTGGCCGGAACACTACGCAGAACACTGGGAAAAACAGCCAAAATGACTTACAAGCAATCTCCGGTTCCTCTACATTTAACCCAAATTAGAAAGCATCATACAAGTCTAATCTACAACTCTCACCGAAGTTCAGGTTATTTTAAACCTGTAAACATGCAAAGCAACAGGATCAGTGGGCTTGATACCAGACGATTTTAAGGATGGATTTGAGGAATCGCGGATTATAGTGATTGAAGTGCAAACTAACGAATGAAAATCACAAATAATACCGTCAGATTGATTCAAACAGCCGATCATTTTAGTTTATAAGCAAAATGACCTTCCTTTAACAAGCACACTATAATCAGGTTGATTAACATCATGTCTACGATCCTTAGTGGAGCTGTGGATCACTGGTTCAGGCACTTAGCTTTCAACCGATGGACCACAGATACGAACCCCGCCTCAACTACCCAGCTATGGGCAGTTAAGTAGTATCATTAGTATTTATGAAATAGATGTGGTTTATTGCCTATTGAATGAGCTGACATGTAGTTCCTCAGTTCATTCCAATTTTCCCTTGGATCCACAGTAACCCTAGCAGGAGCTTGAGAACTACAGACTGGAAGAAACAAACAGGTTCCAGACCTGGATGAGGACGTATCGATCACATATTTACCTTTCGACAAGTTTCCGAACAAAGGCATACTTACAGGCGTTCACCGCTTGCTATATTTCTGGATCTGAAGACAACAATTGATACCTTCAATCGAAAATTATGGCAGTGTGACTACAGGGGTGGCGAGTAAGCGCAGTCTTTCAAAGTTTTCTTGAAACCATATGTTTATCTAAGAGCTTCTGGGAAGTTGTTTGAAGTAAAAACATGCAAGTGTCCGTTAAAGATATCCGCTTTCCCACTTTGTTATACACATACATGTTAATGGATATGACCTTGCGTAGTTCCTATTTCCCAGGGTTTGACTTAATTTCAAGAGGGTACCTGACCGGCTAGAAGTACGCACATAACGCAATCCTGATAGACTAACAAGCTAGAAAAAAGCAAGATCTTCTCAAAGTCTTGAGCATAAATCTGATTATGTTTCCTATACACGCATCACACCAGTCAAACATAAGATGATTCTTCATAATTGGTTTTCAATAGTAACTCCCAGTTCAAGTATAAGGAGTGAAGTGATAGAGCGGGTTGACTATTTTACTTGGGGAGTTACATCAGTCTGAATAAGTTGGTTACTGATGACATCAAAACTAGCAAACGAAAGCCCCGTTATCTACTTGTTTAATAGCAGTATCGCTGTTGCCGGCGAGATATTCGAGTATACATTGAAGAATGAGTATACTGCGCTGCATTTCATTCCGTCCAACTAAACGACTGAAGCATGGCTACTGACAGAATATATAAAGAGGCTACAGGCTTTTGACCACACGTGTTTTTGTACCATGGCTCGCGTGCTATAGAGTCACTGAGTGAATAATATCGGTGTTAGACAGTTACAAGCGAAGGAGGTAAATCGGTTGACGTTGCAAACCTTCATCTATTGAAGTGGTTAGAACGTATTGACATTCCAAGCTACTACTCACCTCAATGTGGGATGTTAGCTGAAGTAACATCGGGTTAGAAAGCTAAGGGTGGTCAGATCAAAAAATGCGACCGGTTCCTGAAGTCTTTGACTGTTGGTCTGAGTCATGTATTGAGGTGTATAGCGCTTGATACTCTGTGGGGTCCTCAAAATAATAGGAATAAGTGTTTTGAAACTCTCGGTGACACGGTTATAATCGGTCACAATCGTTCAAATATATATACCATCTATTTCGTCACACACTCTCTTCATACATTTTTGCCTACCTTAGTATCATTTTAACTGTTCGCTTGTTTTACATGCTGTTTTAAAGTGTGGCAACTTGAACCAATGCGCTTTTTTGCTAGGTTCTACGATGAAGTAGAGCTACTAACCATGGCCTATTTGATTGAAAGTTGATCGCCATGAAAAACGGAAGTGTAGCTAGGACAATTGGAAAGGACCATATAGAAATGACACGGTAGTGATACCAGACAAATTTTACGAAACATTTGTAGCCACCATTAATCTAAATTGGTCGAACATCTATGCTGAAAACACATACTGAAACAAACCAATTGACACAATGAATCATTCAGTTATCTTTCTTCTATATCCACCAGTAGAAAACTTCACAAAAAAAAGGTTTCCAACTTCCTACTAAAGGTATTTTCTTCTTGTCTTCAGAACTACGCTCACTTGACTTATTATTATTATATTTATTTATTAGTCCCTTGGGTTCCTAGTGGAACATAGGGCTTCAGTAGCACGTCTCCAGTGACCTCTGTCCTCTGAGATCTTTTGAACCTGGTTCCACGACAGCCCACAACCTCTCATTTCCTCCTCGCACCACCTCCTCCATGTCACCCTCAGCTGGGACGTCCAACTCGTCGCTTCCAATGGGGATTCCACTCGAGCAACTGGCCTGACGTGTGATGTCCTCAGTCGGCCTTCTCAGTGCATGCCCAATCCATCTCCACTTCCTCCCAGTGCACATTTGTTGCGTGATAGGTTCTTGGTTGGTTCGTTCCCAGAGCTCCTTGTTGCTTATTCTTTCTGGCAATCCATCTGATCTTCAGTAATGAGCCAGAGGAGACAGTTGTTGATGAATGTCTGTAGTTTATTGGAAATGCTTTTCGTGACGCGCCAAGTCTCTGCGCCATACAGAAGCACTGACTTGACGTTGGTGTTGAAAATCTGGATCTTGTTCCGCATGCTGAGTGCAGAAGATCTCCACACTGGTTTCAGGCTAAAGAACGCCTGTCTTGCTTTTCCGATTCTGACTTTGACATCCTCGTCTGTCCGGCCTGTAGTTGAAACAGTGCTTCCTAGATAGGTGAAGGAGGTTACTTCCTTTAAGCTTCTCCCGTTGATGGTGACTGGAGTTTGTTGTTGTTGACTTATGTCTACTAATAATTTATTTACTACAATGTGAGTAGCAGAAATAGCCCAACGTTCATATGATGATCTTCATATTCACTTGAAACGAAAGTCGGAGGGAAACAGATAGACAATTATTTCAAACTCAGGTAAACTAGAATATAAGCAACATTCTAAAAAGTTGCTTCAACCAGATATCAAGCAGCATACGTGTTTATTAAATCGAACATTTTAAAAAAATTTCCATAGGCAAACAATACTCACTGTATGTGTAGGGTCTGATCGTACGACTTCATGCATCCTAGGATTCACCAATGAGCCCATCACTAATTGCGACGGACGGTCTGTACGACACTCACTACATCCTCTAGACATATCTTCAACAAAATTGGATTCACTGTTTTGAGTACCTCTAAAAGAAATCGATGGGTACTTCTGATTATTGCTGAAATTCTGTTGACTATGTGCTACCGCCAGGGCTGCAGCAGCAGTTGTTGGACTTTGATACAAATGTTGCTGGTTTACTAAAGCACATAGAGTATCACATAAACCAGTTTTTGGTCTGCAAGCCAGATGAATGCAATCATGCTGACTAATATAAGCTGTACTCCTTTTCTCTTGACTTGCAATATCTAAAACAAATGAGTTATCACCTTCAGCAGAGGATAACCTATTTAGTCCCGGTTGAACACAAACAGACTGGAGAGGGTGGTGCAGCATCTGTCGTATATGATTTGTACGGGAAGTGTTCGCAGAAAGAACATTCAATGGTTGAACATTTGGAGTTTGGACTGAGTTGTTCATTAAAAAGGGTGATGGTGCAGGTGCAGTAACCGCATTCAACAGAGATAATGCACCGCCAGCGCCACCTGCAGTTACCAAGTCATAGAACGAGAGGGAACGCTGTAACGGAGGAGCATATGTCGCTGGAGGATGATTCGCTGTCACCTGACGAGGTCGCATGCACATTTCTGGTTTACTTTGAGAAATTATTATGGTTGCAGGAGTGTACTCGATAATCGAGCATATTTTGCCTGATTCCGCTACATTGGTAGATAAATGATGAGCTTCATTTACTGCACTCAGTGAAGCATACTGATGCAAACACGGTAGACTGGAAGAACTATTACTAGGAATGGGTATAAGCTGCGAAGTTGGCTTTGCTGAAAATGCTGCTGCTGCGGCCGCAGCTGCAGCATAATAGGCAACTCTAGCATCAGCACGGCAATTAGGTATGTGGTTCTTTTGATAACATGCAGGATTAACTTGTGGAGATGCTTCAGTTCGAGTATTGACAACATTGGAGGTAACATAATGACAACTTTCTGAAAAGGTGGTAATAACTTTGTGAGGCAGTGATAATATATGCTTCGAGTCAAAGGTGAAATCACCTGCATGTTGTCTATGTGCATTCCCATAGCAAACCTGCATTAATGAAAGTGACTCCTGAGTTCTAGAAAAAGTAACAAACAAGAAAGATTGACAGATTTAAGACGTGAAATAAGTGGGACAAAAATGAACGTGTACAGAATAATATGATACTCGAAAGCTGCAAACAGAAAAAGAAATGCATTAGCGCTGCTAGCATGAAGTTTAGCCTGTAACTAAAACCTATATTTAATTACCGCTGTCAACAAGCACTCCAAAAAAGAAACCTATTATCGACAATCGGATTCAGACTGATGATCAACTTTATAAGAATTCGGATTTTGCAGCCGTTTACCGATATCCCCAATTAGTACTAATAGGTTACTGGTTATATGCACCCTACCGGAGGCAGCTTCATAATTTTGTCGAATAATTTAATTGCTTTAGTGGGGACTTTGCTGAACATCGTTATCTTTATTTTGGTACCACTCCAAATTATCTATGTAAGCACACGTGGTTTTAGATCAGATTCTTTCCTGACACAAAAGACTTAATTACTTTACATCGACCCATAGATAAACGAGCTGAAAAATTCAAAACCGAAGATAACCAAAAATGTCTCAAGTTTTGATATCATCAGACCTTTTTATTGAACTTATTACATTCCACGGTAGTGCCGTGCCCATCTCTTAAATTTCTTAAGGAAGGTATTGTACTACACATTGGAGAGTTCAAAACATAACAAGAAAATGAACTAACTGGAGTAGTTCCATTGCAAATAGATAAAATGTCGAGCAGATGTAAACATCATTATTATCATCCCATATTGATCATGACGTGTTCAATTATTCCACTCCTAGTAGCACTGCTGCCACCTCTTTGCAACTACGCAGGGGTAGTGTTCTTGAATCCTTTTGGCCAGGACTCGCGATGAACGACGCATATATATCTAGCTCCACAGGAGCAGGACTGACTGACAAAATTAACGTAGAACTTAACAGACAGGTGCATTGGCTCAAGTTATCATACTTCATAGTAAGAAAAACGGCAGATGCATAGAAAAAGTGATATCAGAGTAGATAAAGTTGTGAGGGAATAAACAATTTGAGGACAGCTGTTGCTGCAAATATCCAAGCTTTAGAAGACGTCAATGAGTGAATAACGTGTGCAACATTGTGACTTATTTTCAGCCGTCAACAAGTCACCAACTAATGATTCCTTTCGTCTGGAGGATCCAGTCAGGTAGTCTACATCACCCAACACTGCTCAGACCGACAGTCTAGGACTCCACCGACTGCTGCGAGGTCATAGTCTGACCACCCTGAACACTCTCCCAACCTAATCCATCTTCACCTACCATGGGACGTCGAGGTAGGCAGTGACTCGGCATGCGTGACACATGTCCAAGCCATCTCAGTCGAATAAGGTACACAACCTCATCAATCAACTTACCTGTTTTGTTTTGTACCTTTCGTTTGACCTCGACATTGCTCATACGGTGATTCTACCAAACGCGAGCAATGCTACGAAGAAACTTATGGTCGAAAAACCGTAACTGTTTCATGTCTCCCACTTTTAACGACCATGTGTCTCACAGACGTACAACAGAACGAAACGTACTGCAAAGCAGTTTACTCGTCTTTTGATAAATAACCGCATATTTCGCCAGTCGGTGCCACAGGTAACACAAGTTGGTAAATGTCAAACGGGGCTTCAGTATCCGAGCGGACATTTCGTCAGCAACCAACCCGTTCGGGTTTACACAAATCCCTTAATAGGAGAAGTGGTCGACACACTCTAACACTTCACTCCCATCATTAAACTGGGAGTGTTTAGAGACCAGCATTGGAGAATCATCCTAGATTTGACAGGTGCCAGAGGAGCGCATGCCTAACATACTCAGATTTCTGAGAAACGTGCTCAGAACATAACTGCATTTTGTTAGCGTTTTCACCTAACAGGACAATATCGTCCGCATACTCCAAGTCAACTACATGACTTCCAGGGAACAGGTCGATCCTTGTGAAGTCAGATGTACCTAGAGTTAAGTCCGGTAATACATCTATGACGAAGCTAAATACGAACGGTGACAGTGGGCATCCCTGGCGGACACCACTAGTTGTCGTCAATTCACATGATAACTCTGCATAGGCGCTTACCCGGCTGCGTAAGTTCGAATAGAGAGCTTCGATAAGCATCATGTACTTGCTCAGTACTTTCTTCACAGTAGTCAGACACTCACAACACCTCACGGTCGATAGTCAAATGCCGCCTTCAAGTCAACAAATATGGCGAGTGTCCGCCACGACCCGCTAGGCATGCCTGTGTTCCAGGATCTATCAAAGGGTAAAAATATGATCAATGACACTCTCGACCAGGTCTGAAACCTGCCTGGTTTCCTCGAGTTCGCTGTTCTTCAGCTCCAGTTTGGCGTCGGATAACTATGGACCCTAAGATCTTGGACACAATATTTTCCCCACTTCTTATAGACCGGGATGATCAGAGTAGTCCACTCTGATTCCCATACAATACCTAGTACCTCTGTTACTTTAAGCAGCAATTTTCTGCCTCCACCCTTGAAAACTCCACGTTTCAAACTGTCAGGTCATGCTGCTTTCTATCCTTTCAGGTCCGATACAGCTTTCTCAGATTCGAGGAGAGTTGCGGGAAAGACATATACGTCCCATCCAGATTCAGGTTGGCTGGATGTTGGCAAACTGAAGCGTTGCTGAGGGCCAGTTGAACTGCGCATAAGTGTTCTGTGGGACGTTTTAGCCACCTGTCCTGGAAGGTTATCAGCATCTCATCCTTATCGGTGATGGTTACACTCAATATCGTCTTCTTCTTACCGGTATCCTTGATAAGCTTAAATAGTTGCCAGGTCTTACCCAACGCTGATGCCTTCTCCATCTCTCTTGCTTTCGCTATCCACTACTGCTCGCGATCGACGCGGAGACTCTTGATCAACTTACACTCAAGTTGCTTCCGCTCCTCACCGTGGTCACAGCCAGCTGGAACCAGTCTTCACGCACCAACCAGTTCGGACGACGTCACCGAAATCCAGTGACGTTTGATAACCTCCGGGTGTAAGGTTATCAACTGTCTTTACCTGTTTCTACAGCAGACTTAATATCACACCAGGTTCCCTCAAGTTGAGCATTGTTGCCATGTTCAGAAAAATGCTTAACTAACTCCCGAAATACTTACTTAACGTCCTCATCTTCCAGTCAACCCGAGACAGGCTTTACTATCGCCCATTTCCTGCGACCAGTAAGACTCAAACGTATAGGTGGCTGCAATAACTAGCGGCCAGAGTTCAAATAGGTACTCCGGGAAGAGCGACAATCCACCCATCCTCACCAACCATGGCTTATAGCCATATGATCTATCTAAGTCCATCGTTGGTTTGATGTCAGCGGACGCCATGTGGGACTGTTCCTCTTATGCTTAAAGTTAGTGGTGGCTATAAAAACAAGTGATTGTCAGAACAAAATTGCAACGGATGATCACTTGTCGACCCGTTGGTATGGGACTCCATAAATACCGCCGAGATGCCTTTGGATTGGCCCAGCTTCCCTACGTGAGCGTAAAAATCACCTGCCATCATGACTTTATCTGAACCTTTTGCTTGCTGTAGCAAAGTTGACAGCTTCGCATAGAATTTATCTTTCGCATCATCCGAACTGGATTTGATGAGGGCGCGTAGGTGGGAACTGCGAATAGGCATCCCTTAGTCTCACGATTTTTCCAAGTCTTTATGAATGCATTCAACTGAACAGCGAATAGACGGCTGTCGACTGGTGTCCAGTCAAAAAGTTCACTTTCTGTCCTACAGCTCAATGCTATACCAACACCAGCGAGTCCACAAGAGCTAACCACTGGGTCTTCGGATACTCTTAAAGTGAATTTCGGAGATTCACTACTATAGCCAGGTGAGGTCAATTTAATAACTGCACTCGGGTCCTGCATATGAGTCTCTGAGACACAGCATACATCCATGACGACAGATTCCAGTTTTGACGAGCGATGCTTGCTGTTCGATCTGGCAGAGTTCGGACGTTGAAAACTCCTACGTGAAATCGCTGCCAGGGTCCTAGGAGGCTAGGCTTTGATCGTTTGCAATGGTTGCAGAGTGAGAGGTTGAGGAAGGTGTAAGAGGTTTATTATTAGTATACGAAGGTGAAGGCAAAGGAGGAGACAGAAGTGAAGATGAATTGTTCTTGATTGAGTCTTGTGTACTACTAGAGGCATGTGGGCGATAGACACTTTCCAGTCGCACACACCATGAAAGGCTATTTCTTCTCAGCGTACCCGAAAGAGAAAAATATTTGTGACTGAAGAGCCCATGGGACATGTGCTTGGAACCTGCAACATAGTCTTTTGCAGATTCTTGTTTTGAGGTTTGGTTTTTCTAACGCCGACTAAAAACGATCTACACCGCTAGGACCAGAAGACCGTGAAGCAGGTACGACTGCTTTATTCTTGGGGCCGACCTTTCCTACCCTTTCCCTTTTCCATTGGGAAGGCAGCATCAGCGTGGCATTGCTGGTCATTCAAAGGGGATACCTTACTGCTGTCACACCCCATCCAGCAAGCAGCAGTACAGCTTCGCTCATGGACTTATATCATAGTGTGATATTTTACACTACAAAGGTAACTGCTTTTAATCATTCCACTATCTAACAGACCTTTCTGGTATGGTAGGACCTCGAGGGAACACGTGTTTCAGCCAGTGTACGTGTTGGGGTCATTGTGATACCCAAGCCTGACCACCACATCAGAGTAGCAGATATCGACCAGGTGAACTGGCATGCAAACACGGTGGTAAGACCTTATCTTTCAGATTGTTACAAAATAGTGGACGACTGGGGGCATTAATCTTAACGTCATTGCAGAGCACTTTCTTTCATGGAATTTGAAATTGTCTTCCTCAGAATGTTAGTAGCTGGACCGCCTTCTACTAATTCAAAGTCAGTGACTGGGAGACAAAAATATGAAGGATATATTGAAGTTAGTGGTGATGACATCATCTAGAAAGAATGAAATGCTCACGGTTAAATCACCTAGCTCAAAGAGCGCAATATACTCAAGATTATCCACTTGAGCTACAAATTTTACTTATCATATATATATATATATATATATATATATATATATATATATATATATATATGGGTTGTAAGTGTAAAATAACTAGCGAATTCCTGAACTAATAGTTTGTCTCTTCATCCTGCCGCTGAAAAGAACAAACACATTTTCATTTTAAGGTCAGAATTAACCAATCTGCTTGATACATTTCACAGCATTTCGAATTACAAAGGTACATTGTTATCGTAGAAGATAAGTCAAAAATAAGGGAACCTACCTTTTAGAAAAAGGTTGGCAATGAAGGTGAGTCATAGTTACAAAGGAATGCTGAAGGGCTGAATCAGGTGTGATTCGATCAGATGGACGCATTTTTAGCATTTGCGTTAGAAGATTAGTAAACTGTTGGCGATCTGCAATATCCAGATCTGATTCCTCAGACGCAGAGGGTCCATTCACATCACGGATTTGATTTAATGAGCTGAAGAAATACTTCCTAGCTTCTTTGGCTTGCTGACCAGTTTCTGCAGCATACTCTTCTTGAGTTTTTAACCGCCAATCACATCTATAATGATCCCGCACAAAAAATGTGCAGCACTTTCCAGCATTTTTCAACATATCCGCGGGAGGCAGACCTTGTGTTTCGACTATATAACGCATCTGAATCCAAAAAGGTTTCAAAGGTAAGTTAAAAATTCATGTCATTGTGCTATGGCAAGTCATCAAATATTATATGTATATATAAGCTTTTGCGCAGACATGACGATCTGGCAGTAAGGTGCCAAACATATACGCAGTGCGCATGAATTCTTCTATTCAGGTTAAATATGCATCAAAGTACTTCACTCTTCAAATCCTGGCCCATTCACTTCACTGTAGGCAACTGAGTAGCATTATAAGCGCCCACAATAAGTATTCCTCATCGACTAGTCTATAACCAAGTGCCGGATTGATGCACTGCGTTATTATTTCAGTGTTTATGAGTTGTCACACAAAGTAACACAATAGGGAAGTATAAGTCTACAAAGCGGTTTAGAAGCATCTGTTGTCCTGATGAAGTGAAATTCACACCCACTCAATAGTCAAAACTCGGATGTATATACAAAGCAATAATCCCACGTAGTGACAAATTGGTGCCCATAAGGGAAGTTTACGATAACCATTTTCACCTAGTTTTGTCGTGAACTTATGTATAATCATAATTCAGCACTTCTGAATTCTTCGGAAGGGATTTCCTCTGATCTGAAATAGGTAGATGAGTCTTATTAAGCCAGTGGTGATTCTTGGATGTCTCAGGCGAATCTTTCAGGGTGCGTTTCGGACTTGCCACACGTACTTTCTCGCACTTTCAAATGTCATTTGGCAAGCTAACAACAAAACTGCCAGAAAATGCCACGGTAGGTGACAATGAGCCCCTGAGCGCACAACTCTCGAAGGAATAGTTAGTTGGAACTGCAAATTTTTATGCTGAGCCACTGCCTACCCCAAAGCGCAAAGTTAGCCGAATTTACATTGGATTGGAAGGCTTATGGTAGCCAAACAGAAACATGTTCTGAGTTGTGAAGGGATATGCGGACTGCTTAGCTAGGGGTTTTAGAGATGATAGTAATGGTTGGAGACACCTAGTAATATAGTTGAAAATCGGCAATGTAATCATTTTTTGACGCATACCAAGTTTGAGCACTTTTCATGAACCTTATTTCGGAATTCCTTCCCCTCCCATACACCTTTGCCTACTTCGATATCTCTCTTCTCTACTCTCTTGTTCCTTGTATGCTGCTATGGTATACCAACCTGAACCAATGTACTTTCGTGAGATGTTTCACATCCACTTTGTCTGTCTGTGATGTCCACACACTTCCGACCAACTGTAGACACAGAAACTGGATCGTTATAAACCAACGTTGACAAGATCGGTGGGCGACTGCCACTCTTTTTGGAGTACCTACTTGAATTCGAATCATACGTTAGCACATACACGAGCACGTTTGAGCCATAATTAACACACAAAAACGGCATAAAGCCGGCGTACCGTTCGAAGATGAAGTCGGATCTGCATTCAGCAAGGGAGTGACTAAGTATTTATCCGGAAATGAAAGGAACTCACTTGCAGGAATTATGGCATAGCACTATTTTCTGTAGAAAAATGGGAAAGACAATTGGTAACCGACATACAAGTTATCAAAGGCCAGTGGATTTCCACATGAAGAAACAAGGTTGCGAGATGAAAGACAAAGCATGAAACTATGATGAAGCCATAGAAAGCTACGAAGCAAGAGTATGAAACAATCACCAATATCAACATAGGACCAGGCATTACTGAGTAACCATCCGAGTTGCCACACCTCATATCAGCACATCAAGTAAAAAGGCAGTGAAATGGAAAATGAAGAAAAGAAACTTCAGTCAAAAGGAATATAAAGTACTAAAAGAAAGTTAGGAAGAATGAGAAAATGGTGAGAATCGGCAAAATGCTAAGATGAGGATAATGTGTGTATACATCTGCGCACCGACATCGGTTCTGACCCATATCACCTAGAGTTAGTCTCCAGCCACTGGTTCCTCTTGTCCCGCAAACCCCAACCACCTAGTCTACATCGTCACACATGGCTCAAACCAACAGTCAGAGACTTCATGCCATGTTTTAGTCTAGCCTCCACGGGCCTTTTCCCAGTCTGGACCTACTTCGGTCAACATTGTGTGATGAGGCAATCGGCAACTAGGCATACGTAGTACCTTTCCCAACCATTTCAGTCGATGAAGGCTCACAACCTCGTCAACCGACTTACCCCTTCTCCTTTAAACTCTATACCTGACTTCTGCATTACTCATCACGTGGTCACACCATGGAATACGTCCTATACTACGAAGGCAACCATCGTCAAACACCTGAAGACAGCTCATGTCTTCCACCCCAAATGGCCATGTCTCACACACATACACTAGTACACAGTTGACTGCAGCACAGTACAATCGACTCGCAATACACAATCGGATATCACCGTGGCGCCATAGGCCACGTAAATTGGCAAAAGCCAGTAGAGCCTTTGTATCCCTGCAGACATTCCACCGGCCACTCAGCCAGCAACCAGGGCTGATCCTACTTCCCAGGTAAGTGAAGTGGTCGACACACTCAACCTCTACACTCTCTATTGTTAACCGCAGTGGGGAACCACTGAACACCAATCCTGGAGCAACAATTCCATTTGGGTGGTGAAAATCGCATCCCAAACATTCTCAAATCCCCACTCAAAGTGTTCAGAAGACTGCATCTTGTCAGTGTCTTCATCTAACACGACTATGTCATCTGCATATTCTAGGTCGAACGAAAATTCTCCCACAACTAGGCCAACCTCTGTGTAATCAAGTGACGACAGGGAAACCTCCATAAGAATATCTATGATAAAATTGAATAAGAATGGAGATAGTGGGCATCCTCGACGGACACCACTCGATGAGTATATCTCCCAGGACAACTCACCATAGGTTCTAACATGCCCACAAGTGTTCGAGTAGAGAGTTTCAATAAAGTGATGTACTTACTAGGCACGTCTTTCAGTGACAGACATTGCCATAAGACTTCTCGATCAATGGAGTCCAATGCCGCCACCTTCAGGTCGAGAAATACAGCTATTGTCCGCCGTCGGTAAGCATGTCTATGTTCCAGGACCTGGCGCAGTGTGAATATTTGGTCGATACACCCGCGGCCAGGTCTAAAGCATACCTGGTTTTCTCGAGATTGCTGTTTCCGAGCTCCACTCAGGCGTCGGAGAATTATAGAACTTAGGATCTTAGACACTATGTTCGTCAGGCTGATTCCTTTGTGGTTATCACAGCAGGACTTCTCGCCTTTCTTGAAGACTGTGATAATCAGTGACTTAGACCAGTCAGAGGGAATCGTATACTGGTTAACACTTCCGTTAACCTGACTAAGAGCACCTTACCACCATCCTTGTATACCTCTGGATTTAGTCCGTCTGGTCCTGCCACCCTTTCTTGTTTCAGGTTACCTACTGCTTTCTCGACTTTGCTAGTGTTGGGGGGTCTATCTCAATGTTCCATTCAGGATACGGTTGGATAGCGGGCAATGCAATGGTGACTGGAGGCCAGTTAAACTGTTCCTCGAAGTGTTCTGCCCATCGTTCCAGTCGTCTCCCTGCGAGTGAATCGCAGATCCGTCCTTCTCCGATACAGTCTCACTAACTGTTGTTGACCTTTTCCCCCCAGTCTCCTTAATAAGTCTAAATAACTGTCTACTGTTACCAATCACCGCTGCCTTTCCCATCTCTTTAGCCTCTGTTGCCCACTACTGTTCGTGATCGTTGCGTAGACTTTTCATCAGTCTACTTTTAGGTTGCGCTTGCTCTTCATTGTACTCAGAGCCTGCAGGGATGCATTCACGTACATCCATTAGTTCGGAAGAAGCTGCTGATATCCACTGGCTCTTTCTAGCCACCACTTCGGAATCGGCTACGGTCTTCAACGCTGCTTTTACAGCAGACTGGAGATGGCACCAAGCTTCTTCTGTTCCGATAACTGCTTAGCCAACTTCTCGCTGAACACAGCTTTGGTGTTTTCGTTGTCCATCAGCACCCGTAGTGGTTTTGTTGCCAAATGTTTTCTACGTCCATTGAGATGCAGGCATATACGTGCTCGGACCAACGCGTGGTCGCTATCCAAACATGTACTCGAAAATGAGCGGCAGTCTCCCACCGATCCTCTCGACCAGTGACTAGTAGCAATGTGGTCTGTCTGTGTCCATCGCTGAGTTGAGCTCGGTGGACGCCAAGTCAGACAGTGTCTTTGTTTATGTCTGAAATTTGTGCTAGCTAAAAATAGGCGGACATCTGAGCATAGTTGTAGTAGGCGATCACCGTTATCTGTACGTTCAGTTGAGATTCCGAAAGTGCCACCTAAGTACCTTTCTCGCCCACTCAGTCTACCCACCTGTGCATTGAAGTCATCTGCAACAACCACTACGTCCGAACGTTTGGCTTTCGAGAGGTTAGACAGTTTACGGTAGAACTCGTCCTTCACTCCATCCAAACTACAGTGAGTGGGTGCGTAAGCAGAGATTACAAGAAGACAACGGCGAGTCTCACTATTCCTTTTAGTCCTCACTGTGCCATTCAGCCGGACAGCGAAGAGGCGACTATCAACTGGGATCCAGTCTAGTAGTGTTTTCTGCCCTAGTGCTTAATGCTATACCTACACCTGCAAGACCCCGAGAGCTAGCTATCGAATCTCCAGAAACTCGAAAGGTGAATCTTGCGGATTCACCAGATTGGTCAGGAGAGGTCAGGTGAATAACCACACTTGGGTCCTGTACGCGTGTCTCCCAAACACAGCACACATCCATGGCTCGAGTTGCTAGAGTCTTTGCCAACGAAGGCTGTTGACCAATTTGACGGAGGGTGCGAACACTGAAGGCTCCAATATGTAATTTGGAGTGTGGTTTAATGAGACCAAGGATGCTGTTTTGTGAACTCACATCGTTGTCGAAGGCTGCAGAGCTAGGAGAAATTGATGATGTAGCATCGTTAGTTGAGAGACGTGAAGGAGGATTATAAGGTGATGATGGGGGAGGTGGATAGCAGTCTGAGGAAACTTGAGTGCTGACCGAGTTGTGAGGACGGTTGACACTTCCCGGCTGCCCACACCGTGGGAAGCTACTTCTTCTTAAGATATCCGAAAGGGGTTTGTGTGACAGCAGAGCCCATCGGTATGAAACAATAACAAATTCGATACGACGACTGAAATGTAGATTTGTAGGTGGATTGGTTGCTGATGAAATCTCAGCTCAGATACAAAATGTTTATTTGGTTTTTGCCAACATAAGCTGATTAGTTAGAAGGATATCCAACTAAATATCATGCGCAGCAATCTTTATTCTGTTGTACATCTGGATCACGACTTCAGAAAGTAGATATAAGGTAACGTTTTTCATCATAGTCTTTTTAACATTCTCTATGCGTAATGGGACGACTGCGAATGATGTTTAGTTTGCGCAGAGTACTAGGCAAGAAATGGAACTCAAGTGATGAGGCTGGGAAAGTTCATCGACTGAAACACCTTGAGAATGTGTTGCACATATGGAGCTAGTGTCTGCCTTGAAACAAGGAGCGGTAATACGACCAAACTAGCAATTGTCTGAATGTACTTAGTTGAGTCCAGCTAATTTAAGAACTAATTTTAGGATTTATGAGAATTAATACTGAGGCAAACTAAAACCCCATGTAAAGGTTAAAGTTCATATTTAACATACATAAAAGCGTAGCAGGCCAATTGCAAACAAACCATCAAAAATCAAATGACTGATTTTCAAATTACTTTCTGGATAACTACATTTCGTAATTTCAGGGAAAGGGTCCGTGTTAGGTGGCAAATGTTTTTACATGTCTACAACTAAATGGTTTGATCTGTTCAGAACCTGGAGGTGGAAAATTTCCTTTACGTTGGTATGTTTTCCGTCTGTACGTCCAACTTGACCTGGGATAACTAGGCAGTTGTTTAGATTGGTTAAGTGTATGAAGAAGGTTAGAAAATCACATAAGTCACCAATATGCAGCCAGCCAGGCCGTCATAAAGCGGATAGAGTGGGAGGCAACTGTTTGATCAAAGCCTTGAAAAGAGAATGCAGGGAAAGGTAATAGGAAAGCCAGGCAGTCGTAGACAGCAAGCAAACTAAGAGATCTATTAGGGCTGTCAACTGACGCGTTGAAGTAGATATCAGTGAAGAAAACCTTGTGACAAAATGCGAAAACGGCTTCATATAACTGTTAATTTATTCAGGAAAAATGGACTTACTTGGTCATATTCAGAAGATCCAGGGTATAAAGGCCAGCCAAGAAAAAGTTCAGCTAGAACGCATCCTAACGACCACATATCTATTGCCTCATCAAATGGAAGACCAAGTAATATCTCAGGTGCACGGTAGTAACGCGATTGTAGATATGTATTCTGAACAGCCTTGGAGCTATGACATGCAGAGCCAAAGTCAATCACTTTGACACGGTAACGCAGGCTCTCAGAGCCTGGGTTTACCAGCATAATATTCTCTGGTTTCAAGTCTGCATGAATTAGACCCAAAGTCTTGAGCTTGGATAACGCTGTTAATACCTGTTGCGAAATAGGTCGGATTTCTGAGAGCGTCAAAGGGCGGAACTTATTTGATTTGAGGTATTCGTACAAATTTTGGTCCAGTAGCTCGAAAACGAAACACATATGGTTCTTGTGTTGGAAGCACTCAATCGCTCTGACTATGTTGTGTGATTCTGTGTCCTGTTGAGCCAGAGTTTGTAGAATCTGAATTTCTACATTACCTTGTCTAAGATAAGATGGAAGGTTTTTCAGTATTTTGATGGCAACATAACGACTAGTTGATCGGCAGCGGCACTTGACGACCTGCCCAAATGTCCCTCTACCAAGAAAAGCTAGAACTTCATACGCCTCGTTCCCAGAACTCAGCATTTCTCCTACGACGATGGCGTAGTCACCTTCGGTTGTGGTCAACTTTGAGCTAGCTTTCGATGCTGTCATTGATAATGTATTCATACCAACCAAATGTGGTTGCATAGTACTGACTGCGCAAAGGTCGGAAACAGAGCCACTGACCGAAGTGATATCAGAGGCTGTCGAATTGTATGTACACATCTGGTGCTGCATAAGTGAACTAACATGAGACCCCAGGTGATGATGTAAATGATTGTTTGGCGAAGATGGGACATGTAAACGGTGAAGTCTAGGGGCAGATGAATCATCGTACATTTGTAGATTTGCATCATCTGCTTTTCTCTTCTTATGGATTGTATGAGAATTTCGATTTATGTACAAATTATTTTCGTCCTTCGGATGTTCGAATTGCTTTTGGAAACTGATAAGCTCTGGGTACTTAGGAAAACCTGAATGTTTGGCATATTTTAACTTATTCTCTTTGAAAACATGTCCTTCGGGATAAGCAGTCTGTAAATCCATTTATTACAATTTAGCAGCATAAAGGTAGGCTAGTAAAACCATGGCCCATCCCAAGTAGTGAAATCAAAAGCAACTGCTAAAAAAGAAACCCTACGGGAGACCGCCAAATTGGGCCTAACTCCAACTGACTCAAACAAATAAGATGGGTGATGAGAAATCTAATTTAGGCATTTATGTATTATTGTGGTCATGAAAATTTTCATAGAGAAAAAGTCTACTTTTAAATTTACTTTGATTTACTGAAAGTCTTAGAAACCAAACTACTTGGTAAACATTGTAAGCGCATTTTCCGAAACAGAAAGTGATTTTTGCACGTTCCTGGCAAATTTGACTTTTGTTTCGAGATTCACATCAAAATCCTAATAGAAAACTTAAGCTGGAAGTAATTCAGTTAAGTTCCGTGTTCTAACAGCAACATCGATGATGTGAGCTTAAGGAACTGACAGTTTTTGATCTCTCCAGCCTAGTCCTTGGGTACTGGTCCTTGTTTTTTATTGTGCTGATGCAGTAGACAAGGAAATATCCTCTGATTTCTCGTTTCTAGCCCCGGTAAGACGAGTGTCTCTAAAGGTTTCTAATTGTAGTTTGTTGACTGTGCAGCGTCACACACTCCCCAAAATCAATAGATTAGGGTTTGACGACTTTCGATATTGATGCTGACCTTGATGGTTTAACTGGACTCGCTAAGCTGAAGGCACCCGGTCAAGCATCCTCGCCAGTTGGCACGCCGTCGTGTTAAGTTGCGCTGCCCGGAATCGACCCTCTATCCAGTTAGTTGGAACGCATCGGTATTGTGGCAGGATCTCGCAAATATACTATTCCATCTGACTACGCTATTGCGTTCTTTCTTGGTCTCGTGTTCGTGGGTACATGACAGGTATGAATTATTAGTGATTGGCCTCTGGGTCTGTCAAGTTCGCGTCACAACTATTCCTAAGTTGGTGAGCCCGACGTGATAACAAATCTTAAAGTGTCAACAAGAGAGGTGGTGAGGAATAAACAGGAAGGAAGCAGTGGTGAACTTCAGAGGTCAGTAATCCCCTGAGTACGTCCGTAGTAAACCAAATGAAATGACGTAACTGTCTGATCGTCCTTTAATGAGTCTACTGATGGGGGCTGTGACTACATCCCGAGGTAAGGGATTCTATAAAGGATATACTCTAACGAAGAAAAGTTAGACAGGAGCCCAGGTTTGGCTCTCTAGTGTGGGTACTCCTAAATCAGAGCTGACAAAAAAAGGGCGGAGTAGATCAGCTGTATACCCGCAGGACCTACGCGTAAGGTCGACTTACACAGAGGCATATGAAGACGACACATGCTATTTAATAAGCTGTGTTATCTAGTCAACTGAAGTAGCGCAAATCGGGATGACACACTGAAGTTCATGTTACACACCAAATGATTTTATCGTGACCCGCACACATGAATAAAAAAACGTGGTAGCGTGTTACCAGCATCGTTTCACCCAAGCGCGCCGCATATTTATTGTCTGGATCTCATTCGTTTACTTTCAGTTAGCCGCTTGTTTAGTCTCCGACTTTAGTTCGCCCTGGAGATTCTCTGCTTTGAAACGTCATTACTGAAAAGTGTTTAGATACGGGGCTTGAATCCCTGCTTCCAGATTCCGTTTCAACACGGCACATATTTTAAGTAACTGACCCCTAGCACCTCCCTGAACCGGCTATTTCTGGCCAAGTAGTGATTTTTTTCCTAGCTTCGCTGGCGTGGCCCAGGTTTCGACTCCGTTATCCCCTAAATTGAATTTATGTTCACGGAAGTGCCAGTTTTCAAAGGTGTTGAACTCAGTCAGTCCGGCCTATGGTTAGGAGCACGCTTCTGAGAGACTTGATAGGAATACAGAGATGCATTAGACGGTGTAACCCCCCTGTTTATTTCATAGCAAACTTCATGTAGACATTCTCACCACCATTAATGGGATGATCGTAGCACCTTGAGACTGCTTGGCAGGAGGAAGCGCCCTGGAAACCTGTATTTGGAAACACGCAGTGGGACCTTTGAGCCTTTGTACTGAAAGGTTCAGGACATAGGTAAATCAGCTATTACGAGGTTTAGAATGGAAGATGAAAGGTAACCTGTAATAAACTGTTAAGTTTGTCCAAAACGGCTGTTCTCGTGCATCAAGGACGGAGTCCTATCTCTCCTAACATCTAAGGATCTGGAAGAGTCGGTTGAGTATAATCTCTCAAAAACTACACTTCTTCCGGGCTCCTTCGGGGCATTCAACCAGCGTTCCCGCGAATGCCGAAATAATGAGTCCGACGTACTTCATAAGAGTGATATTCCTTTGGCTACTGAGCAACCTAAGGCCTAAAAAATCCACTTGTCGTGGGAACTGCGCTCATAGTTATCACGTCTTACGGAAAAACTGTCACCAGACCGCTCGCTGAACCACTCGGTATGTCCGCTTATCAGACTCCGCTATCAAGACATCAGAAAAGTGCCATGATCAGCCGAGTTTTCGAGGCGGTCGGTAGACAACTGGTATCCACTTATCATCCAGTTGACTTAAGTGGTTCGTTCTTGTCATTAGTTATGAAGGTATTCGAGAGGATCTCCGGGGATGAAGTCCTCAGCCGCGTCGGAAACCATAGTCTTCTCACATCTCCAAAATATACGTCTCGTACTTGTTAACCTTGCCTAATTAATCCGTTCATAGCAAGAGTGGAACCAGTGGCAGATCATAATAAGAGGCGCTCGGAGACGTTGCGTTCATTGACTTCAGCAAGTTTATGAACCAGGCTTCGACGAGCCCCCAAGTTTCAGACTTTCACTCTGATTCAGGCCTGGAGTGAAAAAGTCCCATCCAGTGGGAGACAAAGGGTGGTGGTGAATGGTGCACTATTTAAATGCAAACCCGTGGGGGTCGGAGCTCCAATGAACAATTCTGGGCCCACTTTTCTCTTGCTATGCGTCAACGAACTCCTGGATATGATTGCGTCACCGGCGCTACTATCGGTCAGTGACGCGAATGTATAGCAGGGTGACTGTAGTGAGGGTGACAGATGTGAATTACAAGCGGAACCAAATAAGTTGGTAAAACGTACAAATCAATGGTGCCTACGAATTAGTTCTGCCAAGTTTTCAGCCTTGCATATTGGTCATAACATCTGTCAATGTGGCCCTGGCACCCCACTGTGGTCAAAACAACATCGGAAGACGACTATCGAGTCTGGAACTTATTAGTTGTTTGCACGGCTTCTTCAGAATTGCTCCCAATGTCGACAACAAAAATACTCCAGTGTTTACTAAAACTGGACAAAATAATCTCATTACGATTTCACATCATACTTCTGGTAGCACAGTACCCGCGCCAGGAGTGGGTGGACGAATACGAATCGCTGAGACGAAACTATGGTGGACAAATGCAAATAAAACTGGTGCGACCAAACCAGAGTGAATTTTCCAATGCCCGAATGGCATTGACACTTCCTGAAACAAAAGGGACCCTAGTGTTAAGCAGATGAAGCCCAGACTGTCATTTCTAGTGAGTGGCCTGGTCTAATTAGGAGGAACCGACAACAGGAAGTAAAAGAAAGATGACCCAGACGCCAGCAAGAACATTTACAGTGTTGATCCCAACACCACCTCGTCACTCACTGCCACCGTGTGTAGTTGTGATGCTTGCACGTCAACATGGACGTGGGGCTTCCATCTGTTTGCCAGACACCTTTCTTGCTGCCGGAAATGACACGCATCTGCATGTATCATTGACTGGCGCATTTACACTACTTTCGGTCAACTCTGTCCTGATGCCCGACATCCTCTCTTTACCGTGGAAAATTGCGGCTTCCTATAGACATTAACATTGAACACCCTGTCCATGACACAACCCAAAAGCGTTCGAGACTTGCAGACGTCGCCTGCATACGCCAGGTATCCTGCCTGCTTCGGATGATAACAACTCCGGTAGTTCATTACCATTACCACTATGGTAGAATATGGCTCATTGACATATCAAAACCCTCTGTTAATTCAAACCCAGCGTGGTAACAGAAGATAAGGTCCGCTTCATGTTGCTGCAAATAGATATGAAACTGAATCAATATTTTACCCTCGCATCATGACTTTAAAGTGAGAAATGAAGGTCTACAGGCATCGTCAAATAGGTAATGGAAGAGAATTCAAGGTTGCATTGTGTCCTCGCAGCTAGGCCGTTTAATCGTTGAGCTTTCATCATCTTTCTAGGCGACATCATGAGCACTAATTTTAGTACGAAGTGAGCTGTCACTATCTCCCCATGAGTGACTCAACAACTTGACTCAACGAACTGCTTTGTGACTGGTTATTTCCTTCCATTTTTTGCGTCGTTGGCTGCATAGATTTTCCTGTTGGCTGCTCCTCTGTTCCACTTCCGATCTTTCTGTTGTTTACCATTTTTCTCATTGGCTGATAGATGAGGTCCGTTTTATTATACATCTGTTGATTGCTGACCGACCTGAATGCCAAGCTTCTAAGAATTCTCTGATATTCTTTGTGTTTCTTCTGTCCCAAATTTCTACTTTGTCAATAGTGAATTCATGTCTATAATTACCCATGTGCATTAATAATAACAGTGACTTATTCTTGAATTTACGGGTGCGTTTCATTTTTACGAACATGGCTGTAACATTTAGCGGTGAAAAAGCTTTGGTAATATTTTTTAGCATCCCTTTCTCATCTCAGGTGGTGGAAATCTCCAGTTTGAAGGAAAGATTTCATATCACACACTAATAGTGCACTTTAGGTGTAAGGTTGGATTTTTGTTGTTTTTAGGCCATCTGGCAGAAACAAAAGTCATTTTTAATGAGTGTGTAAAAGCACCATTGAAGAAAATAGGGGAAACAGTTAAACAGCTTTATTCTAAAGAAGAGGTAACGCTGGCCAAACTACACCAGTGTTTTCGTCTGAAATATCTCGTACATAGAAGGAAGTACTACAACGGATTCTGTGTAATGTTGAAAAGAAATATATCTGTAGGTCTCTTTGCATTCGTCTACATG